GTGCTTTTGTGTTATCTCTCGTTTTCTGACACCCCTCCTGCCTGGTATATTTATGTATCAGAACTGGGAAAGGGATGACAATGATTCACCAGTGTTCACTGACCTGACCACTATCAGCAGCAGTGATGACTAAATTTAATGTTAATAACAGGACATGTACTGCATAACCATAACATGATAGAATATATCGTAGATTATAAGAGTGTTAATCCATTTATCTTGAACATGGTAGATGTGGAGTGGAGTTGGCTGGTGACAATTGCTCCCCTACTGGAAGATCAATTAAATTTGCTTTCCAGAATTGCCATTAATGCCTCACAAAAGTGGTGTCACCAGGTTACATTTCTAGGCATCTGTTCCTCTCAGGGATATTTAATGCATTACATACACATTCACTGAGCATGAAGTGAAGGAGATCAAAAATTCACAATTCTAATTAAAATGGATCCTTTGATGACTGACAGTTAAAGATGTAAAGTATATAAATATTTCAATTTAATGTGCCCTTTCAAAGAATAAAGACTGTGTCATCTCAGCCTGCTGAGTTAAGATTTCAAGTCCAGGTAATTCAAACAATGATTTGAGTGGGTTGGCTAAACAAAATGTTATTCAACAGGCTAATGGGAACCAGCTTTAGTGAAGTGTCGAGGGGAAAGTTTCCAGTTGGTTCCAGCTGGTTTCCAGTTTTTATGGAACTCGCTTTGACAGACTTTGATGTGGTGATATTCTATTGCTTAATAAAAAACAAAGTCAGGAAACATACTCATACTGAAAAGGAGATTTAGGGGTCTCCTTGACTCTGGATAAGGGACTTAATTTCAAAATAGATTAAGTATCTTGAAGATAGGAATTAAACTAATGTAATGTGGATTGAATCCAAGCAGTGCCAAAAACTCTAGGTCCTAGAATGGCCTATTGACGCTGGCTACAAAAGAGAGTCAATCCCCACAGACTCTTATGTTAAAATTCCCCACTTAACAGCAGAAATAAACATGTTTGCAGCCTGGTACAAAAAACAGTTTTAGTCTCTATAGTAATTTCACCATTCATAACAAATGTACAGGGAGGGGGTAAATTTTTATATAACTCATCTTTTAAAGTTTCATTAAGGCTTAAAATTATACACAATTGAGGGTGTGGTCACTTTGAATGACAGGTGGATTCTGTCACAGTTGGATAGCTGCTAACTGTCTGCTGGACGTCACCTCAGCTAATTCGAGTCAGTGAACATGACAAATGGCTTGTTGTTGATTAATTGATTAACAGAACATGAGTAAGTCTGTGCTCCTGTGTTTTGAGGTGAATGAAATTCTAGTATTATTTTATTTATACGTTAGCATGAATTAGCAGGTATCTGTGTCTGTGCTCACCTAGCTTGTTAGCTTAGCTTGCTTAACTAGGCAATTCCTAGCCAGCAATGAATTAGCCTTGGGTTAGCCTTTAAGCAAGACAGTTATCAAACTGGCATTCACCAGAGTCTCAGCACCACCTCACCTCTTTTCTCATTTTTGAATTAGCAGGGGGTTAGGTGGTCAAGCACTGCCAAGATGGTGATGGCGGAGCAGCCCACTCTGAGCTTCAAAACCACTTAACAGAAACCTATGGGTGACATGATGGAGGCTACATCCATCTTTATCTTTGTGCTGTCTAAGTTGCTGCCCTTTGACTGAAACAGAGCTGTGAATCATCTTTATTTTGCTCAATTTTCCCTAGTATTGTCATTTTCCCACAGTATCCTGACATTTTTTTTCTTTTCATAAGGAGCTCAAATTGTTCCAGGGCATGGCCCCGGAACAATTTGATTCTACCTGGATGTGTAAAGGCTACAGAGAAAGAAATTTAGTCAAGCGGACAAGCAGTTCACTGTGCAACATGTTCCTCTAAGACCTTGCTCCACATTGGCCTGAGCTGCCAAGCTGAGAGTTAAATAAATAGCTTCAAAAACACCTGACCCTGTCTGTTGGTTCCTTTCCCTGCCTTAACCTGCACCCAAACGACAGGATCAATATTGACAGGACATCACCGGATTTATGACTTGAGCGTGGACTGAATCCCAGAGACGCATTTATTTTCAGAGACGGTAATTGCCTCAGTATCAGGGATAAAAGGTTCTTAATGGGTGCTACAATACAGGCTTATAACTTTATTGCCACCAATAAGTAGGCTTGTCAGAGATAAAGTTCATATGTTACCTGCACTGGCATAAAATAGGCATATTCAGACAGCTATAATGGGATTCCAAGTATTCCAAGTACTTAGACACACACCTACTGAATTTTAGTCTGAATATGCACTTGAAATACAAAAATTTTTTAATTTAATATTTATTTTGAATTAGGAGCCATGTTTATTTAATATTTAATAGAATGAATTTGAAATCGATGAATATTAATGGGGAAGAAAACAAATTTTTCATGTCATACTTTCAAAATGGGAATACAAACATTAATAACCACAGAATGTGGGAAAGACAGTTTTGAAATATATTGAATTCCAATGCAACATTTGAAAATCCTGTCTGCTATCATCCGTTAGCCTGCAGCACAACCTACAATGAATGCCCCACTGGATGGAAACATTTAGTTGAAATGTGGATGACAAGTTTTTGAACGCACTATTTGTTATTAGGACATGACAGTCAAGCAGTGAAATGCAAAATCTTCAAATACTAGGCTGAAACTGACACAGTTATTTGACACAGTCTGGTTTTAGCCCTGGCAGGGAACATCAAATTACATTTAAATTGGATTCATTTAGGTTCAGATGCAAATGCAGAGCTTTCCTTTCCCAGAATAAGATAATTTCTGTCAGGTTGTGGAGTGTGTTTTGGGTGAGGTTAATTGATTGGGATGCAACATTAATTTTTTTCATAAATGGGTCATTTGTAAGAAGATTTCTTTAGGCTATACACCTAAGCTTGGTACCCCACTTAAAAAGGCTGCATACACACTGTGTCCTTGTTTCAATAATTAAGTCAAGCAATTATTTCTGAATCTCTGAGAGGCTGTTTGTGTTCAGAACGTTCCTCAGACCTTGTTACCTAAAGTATGTCAGGTGTATCCTGGAAGCTTGTGATACTGTGGGATCTATCGCTTTCAACTTGTCATATCATTCCTCCTCTCTATTTCCTATCATTCCTTCCACCTTCCGCTATATGGAAGTAGAAATGCCACAAAAGCCTGGAAATTGAAAAAAGAAAAAAAAAGAAAAAAAACGCATCACATCTATCTGTCAGTCCAAATGAAGCCCGGGTCTCTATCCCCTTTAAACGATTGTTTTATCCTCTGCACTCATCAAAAACACCTTGAGCAGATGACTCGGCTGCAGAAAGGTTGAAGCAGACAGTTCAATATTAAATCCAACCAATTATGCTTGCATCTCATAACGCAGCTTTCTAAGCAGAGCTGTATTATCATTCATGTCACTTGCGTCTACATCACAACTCCAGCAGACGTCACACAGACACATTTCTTGGTCGCATCACTGCCGTCAGAGCGATTAGTCTCATTATCCTTGTAGGAAAAAAACAGGGCAATTTCTATTGTACCAGAGTGCTGATTCTCCATAATTCATGATATCCATCCTTGGTATCATGGTCGCTGTCACCAGACATGCACAGGGTTAGGCTTAGTGCCAAATAGTTGAATTTAGTGGTTCTTTCATTTGGGACATGTGCAGAATGCGGTTGTCTTAAAACTCATTAATACCTGTTCTACTTACCGCTATAAACCAAATTTTAGTGATCAATCGACCATAAAGCCCCCACAACAGCCCTACAGTGAAAAAAATTACTCTCCCCATTTGGTCGCAGACATTTCTAATCAACAACAGACTAAATCTCAAGTCCAGTCACCGTGGAATAATTGGAAATGTGCTTTGTGGAACTCTCTTAGATTTATGAGAGACCCCTCGCTACTGATTTATTTTCAGACAGCGCCTACGTTTTATGGTTTTCACACGCACAGTTTTTCTCCCTGCTGCTCTCTGAATCAAACGGTGTCTATATGGGAGGTGTGAAGCTGTTTGTGTGTTGGAAGGGTGGAGAGAGGGAGATGAAGACACACACACACACACACACACACACACACACACAGGAAACGGGATGAGCTATCACATTTCTACACTGTCAAATGCTAGATAAGTGAGTAACCAGACAGACTGAATGAAACTAGGTACGACACAGACAGCCCAGAGATGGCAGGACATGCTCACTCTGTTTCTGGTCATACAAATGGAGGTTAAGACTTTAAAAACTAAACTAAACTAAAAAGTCTATTAATAATATCTGGGATCTAAGAGTTATATTCAGAGGAATATAAACTATTCCCAATTCAAGGTGATCTTTTCAGCCCTCAGCCATAGCAAGAGGCCTGTCTCACATTTCTGCTCCCGACTTTGAGTGTAAGAAAAAAGAAAGGAATATCTTATTTTCCCCACAGTGTCCTCTGAGAGTGGTTGGATAGCATCTATTTGAAAAGATGACGATGTTTTCTTTTGCTCTACCGGCTGCAGGATTACTGCTTTTGTGTGCACGGTTTCAAATCTCAAATGGCTGTTTTCTTTACCCTACTTTCTTCTATAGTCAACAGTTAAACATGACTTAAATATTGTTTTTCTACAGGGTATCGTAGATGTATGTGGTGGGGTGATTTGGTTGACACACAATTTCATTCTAGACCAGTTCTGGGAAGTGCTGGAGTTTAACAATGGTTTTAATTTAGGATATTTTTATCATGATATATGGATATGTGTTCTCAAAGTTAAGTTGTTATTGTGTTTGATTGTTGACTTTCATATTATTTATGTTTTTGCCTCAAGGGTCCTTTTCAGCTGTTTGGGCGCCGGAGCAGCTAAATTCCTCGAAAATGAGTCTACATAATGCATGAAAACCATTAAAAGAAAGCTGAAGCGTAGGTTTTGAGATGGTGACTGTGCAGATACATTTGTGTGAAAAGATATGTTCCAGACAGACATTAAAAGCATGTGATTGTGTTGCATACCTCAACTATAGTGGTTTTGGCTGCCTTGCACATGGGCTGATTGAAGTTCCTGGCTGTTTTCCTGACAGAGATGAGAAAGACAGATGTGATGTTGAAACAAATTTGAGGTAAGGGAAAAATTCAACCAAAACAACTCAAAAACTCTCAACGTGATATCCAATGTCACAGTATAAGCTGGGAGTTTACTGGAGGACAGTGCTCTCTTGTGGAGAAAGACTTTACTACACCTACTAACTTCCCTTATTCACATACACCAAGCACATGCTGATTGTTGTGCAAACACAACCAAGGTGATTAAGCTGAATCCTTTACAACATAAATAATGGCATTGCCATGATACAACATGTCTGTTCTAATGATGTGTGATCTGTACAGATATTCCTGTTTAGTGCAACATGATCAAAACTCTTTATTTGCATTGTGACTTCGGCAGTTACCTGAAAATAATGTTTCCAGCCCTGTCGGACTTCCATGCTTTGATCAATGCAAAGTCTCCGGTGATGGCCTTTTCCATGATGTAGTGCCTGCCATTGAACTCTTGCACCTGTGCACAGTGACAGCACAGTTCAAGTCTACGTTGCACTGAACACAGTCAAGGCTGAACAAGGTGACCTGTTTTCATGTTCACTTGGCCTAAATACTTGAGTCCAGACCTAGATTAGTCATTACTGCACACAAGAAATTCAAAAGCACTATGAACATTCATGGAAACACATCAGCCTTGTGTGTTACTGTTATTTTTGTAAACATGAAGGACCTGAAATGTTTCTCTCATTATTCAAATACAGTTACTTTGGGTTTGCTACAATGCCAAAGTGCAACCAGTCAAGCAATTTGTAGTTTTCATTTTTAAAACATTCATAACAATGCAGGCTTTCTACAGACATGAGTTTTGTGCTGTGCAATCAGTGTGCTCGGTTCAAACATTCACATTAAGAACATGAACTCTTTGCAGTGGCCAGTCCTACTTAAGTGTGTTCTCATAGTTTAAAGCTGATACTGATACATGAATGTCATTAATATGATTTGTTCAATCCTCAGGAAGCAAACTCAAACCATCTAACAAACTAGCAGGGAAGCTGGCCACAGGTCTAAAGAAATGTCTGCAGTCATCCCAAGCAAATCAAACTTTGCTCCATGGCACAACCACAGTAGGGAAGACAGCACCCTCACCTGTCTCTTCTCACTGGCGATGGCAATGCTGCCATCTTTGTTGTACTTGATGGGAGAGCCTCCCTCTTGGATCAGTGTGCCATAGCCTGTGGCTGTGAAGAAGGCTGGAATCCCAGCACCTCCAGCCCTGATCCTCTCTGCAAGAGTGCCCTTTGGAGAAAAAAGGGTGACAGATAGAGATGAGCACAATAGATAAATGTCAGCTGCATGTCTTTGTAGTACGTATCTTGATCCTTTGGATGTTGGAATTTAACATGTCAAGACTTCTTAAGTGAATTTGGTTTGTGTGATTTGTGTGTTTTGTGTAAAGACTATAAGCATTTCTGTGTGTTTTCTGACAAACCTGTGGTGTGAGTTCCACTTCCAACTCTCCTGCCAGATACTGTCGCTCAAACTCTGCATTCTCTCCAACATATGAGGAGATCATCCTCTTGATCTGCTTGGTCTGGAGCAGCAGGCCCAGGCCGAAGTTATCCACTCTGATGAAAACATACATACAGTATTACTGGCTTTTAAAGGGCGTCAGTTAGACTGCAGTTTATTGAAGACAGTGAACTGAGGCTTTCTACTGGAATTTCCATCATATACTTAGAAAGACATGTTTCACAAAAAAGAAGAAAAGAAAGGAGGACAAGAATCACAGTGAGCCTTCTCTACACAGATATGCATGTTCAATGTTTATATTATATTGTGTAGGCAATGCTCACTCATTGTCTCCATTGCAAAGCAAAACATGTTGTTTCTGCACATCCTGTTCTGCAGTGTTCAGATGTGCAAAGCTGACACATAATCTCAAAGGTGCCAAAGGTGTCACTAATACAAACTGTCTTAAAGGGTACAAAAAAGTATACACAAGGTACACAAGGTCCTGTTATATTCTCAGTGGTCCCTGCTCTTTGAGTGTGAACATTACCATAAATCCACAAAGACGTTATCCAAGGTTGTAACTGGGCCAAGCCAACTGAGAGGGCTTCTTTTTTTTTTTTTCTTAAATATGGGCAAAGTACAGACTAACTGTGACCTATCCACATCTATAATAAAAGATCATGAGACCAAAAGCAGCTGCAGAGCCTTATGGGCAAAGTACAGACTAACCGTGACCTATCCACATCTGTAATAAAAGATCATGAGACCAAAAGCAGCTGCAGAGCCTGGAGTAGTCACTGAGACAGTCATTTGTGATTTTTTTTTGTTTACCAACCACATAAACTGCACAGAATGATTTTTTGTATCACTACAATGTGTCATCAGAGGGGTGACCAACTGCAGACTGCACTTTAATGAAGCTGCGACACACATATCGATCTCAAGTCTGGGTTATGCCTGCTCCACATTGAATATGACACATTTAGACCATCAAAACTCGACACACCACCATGGTTTGACAGCAGGAAAATCTCATTACTAAAATAGTACATTGAGAACTCCTTTCTAACTTTCAGTTACCAGAGAAATTTATTATTGAATTATTGTGTCACTAGGGTTGCTGAAAAACTATAAATGGAAATACTACAGGAGCTATGAGAGGACTGACTTTGTGTGGCTGGTCAGTCATTAATTATAAAGCTGTAGTCTTCAGAAAACTTTATAAAACACATAAAGCTGTTTTAAACAGGGTGTTATCTTGTGAGAAAAGATAAAAGAAAAACACTGTCAAACATCTTATCAAGTATTTCCCAAACTATCTGATTACAGCACAGTGTAAGAAAATCAAGTCAGTTTCAATGTCCATACTACCTTTTGTTATTCTAAAATAAAATAAAAACTGTACATACTATATTTTCTGTATATTGATGTAAAAGAACGTATTCCCTCTCTCTTGTTGTTCCTTCTCTGCTCTTACTAACCAGAGACAAGAGCAAAGCTGAGATCTGCAAAAAGTGAGTTCTCGCTCATTTCTGTGAAGCTGAGAATCAGGAACTATTGCTTTGTCCTTAACTCTAATCTCAGGTCAGGTGACAAGATATCTAGGCCATATGCGCTCAGAATACTAAAAANTATACTATATTTTCTGTATATTGATGTAAAAGAACGTGTCCAAAAATATTCCCTCTCTCTTGTTGTTCCTTCTCTGCTCTTACTAACCAGAGACAAGAGCAAAGCTGAGATCTGCAAAAAGTGAGTTCTCGCTCATTTCTGTGAAGCTGAGAATCAGGAACTATTGCTTTGTCCTTAACTCTAATCTCAGGTCAGGTGACAAGATATCTAGGCCATATGCGCTCAGAATACTAAAAACAAGATGACTGTGGCAAGTAGTCTGTCACACACACACACACACACACACACACACACACACACACACACACACACACACACACACACACACATACCACTACCACTTGGTGGTAAAAGTAAAATGTAGTAAAAAGGTTTGGAAAGTATATCTGATGGTGACATTTTGTGATCTTGTGTATGAAATTTGTGTGTATGTGTGTCTGTAGAATGAAAAATCAACTAAACGCTCACTGATCAGAGCAACTTCCAGCAGTGATCTTGAGCACAAATGTCATAGTCTTTTATATAGGATCTGTTCTGTTTGTGTAAAATGACTGAAGCAGCTGATTATAGAGTAAATACAAAAGCTTTAGGGGGTGATGGTTCTGTACAGCTAAATAAACTTCTCTTGTGTACAGCTAAATCCCTCTCATCTCATGTTACTGTGCATTAGAAGCCCATTGTGTCAGTGTTGTGATTCCCTCCACTCAATCAATAGTGGTGATACAAAAGATAAAGAAATGCAGCCCCACCTGTATTCTTAGTATTGTATGGAGACATAAACAATATTTGAGAAGATTTTCATCAAAATTAGCACAATTTTTAAACCTCTCATTTAAGCCTCTTGTAAAGGACACTGCAGCCAAGCAGCAATTCCAAAGCCAAAATTGCACTTGCCTCTCAGTGCTACCAAAAATAGATCAGCAAGCTCCATTGAGCAAACAGTGTGTTCATTTACATTTACTCAATTTGGCAGACGTGTTTATCCATAGCGACTTACAAGTGAACGACAACACTAAAGCTTCAGTGCAGTAGGAGACCTTGGTGTAAGTACTAAGTGCTATATCTATTCAATAAGTGCAAGGAGATCAAGTAAAGATTTGCACCGAAAGTGAAGTTTTGTTTTTGAATGGATGCCTTTTCCTTAATCTCATTCTCCGGTGATAAGTGGAACTACTTTCCTTTGTTCATGTCAACATCCAATCTCACCAGAGTGCCAAAATAACAAACACACACCACTGACTTTTTGTAGACTCATGAGAGATCATTGAGGACAAGACATCCACTCACAAAACTTCATTCATCATAATTTCTTATTCATATTTCTTCGTTGCAGTATTTCACACCTGAATTAAGATTTAGGTAATAGCCATGTTTATTTTGTTAAGCAGTGAAGAATTACTACTTATTCCTGGGATAATACTAGTAATACAAGTGTAAAATCATTTCACTGACACTACAAAACATTATTTGTTTGGCAGGTTTAATTGAGGAGAATCAACCCTCCCTTCAGACAAGAAAAAGCAAGCAGAGGAAAGGGAGTTTTCATCTTTAGCAATCTTCTCTCTAAAATGAAACGTTACATAACTACTTCTTTCACCTTCCAGCCATCTTCCCTACAGAGCCAGGCAATTTAAACACGACTCAGCTGTGACAAAAAAAACAGTAGATGTACAATACATAGGACTGGTAACTTTAATAACCTCCCCACCCCTGGTTTGCAATGTAGACCAGATGCACGCCTGTCTCTGTATAAAGGCCTCACAGCAGTATTCACATAGACACGGTATGTACAATGGTACAAAATATACTACAGTGCTAACTAAATAAATATGTAGACTGCGTTGTATATAAGAAATCTCACTATGTTGGAACTTGCTCAGAAAACACTCAGAAACTACACAAAAGAGACAATATGGCAATAAAACAATTTGCAAGTGGTTACAGTTTTCCCCAACAAGTATTGGCTGCAGAGGGAGAACACTGACTGGAGCAATGACTGTTCAGAAGGATGGCCTGATTCAAGCAAACAATCTGAAGAATCAATATCCACTAAAAATCAAGGTCCACAAGAAAAGTCTAGTGAAGCACACTAACACACACTTCACAGGTCAGTGTTTTTCAGGCTGAAACAACTACTGGCGCAGAGAACTGTGTTCAAACAAGCTGTGGCATAGACTGAATAGTCTCTGTTCTACAGTACCATCCTTTCCAAAGTCTTCACTTAACTACAGGTATTATGTTTTGCACTTTCAGTAGTGAGCCCTAGTGTTGGCCTAGGTAAAAAAAAACTAAAAAAAAACAATACAGTGTTCAGTTTTAGAAAGTTACTGAAAATAGCCGCCATCAAGTTTGACACTCAGTGCCCTTAGTAATATCAATCCATGCACAGCCATGCAAAGAGGCTACTCAATGTTAAAAACCAGCAATGTAGTGAAGGTTCTTCATAACATTTATTGATAAAAAAAAACTATACTATATTACTATTGATTTCAGAACCTTTTTTTCCCAACACTCTAGCTCACTCATTTTTCTCAACATGAATACAAAAGACACAAAATCCAGCCAGTGCAGCCAAGAGCAGCCAAGCGCAACCAGATAAATATTTATGCCAGTGTGTTGCATGTAACAACTAAACTTAGTGATATGGTAACACAAATAGAAAATTGTATGTTGTGTTTAAAATTGCAGTCTTAGTGTTTATATTTTAGTAGATTAGATGAGCTTTTTGTCACTGGCTCAAGTTTCAGTGTTGCTGTGTAAACAACTGAGGTAGGCGTCTACCGGCCGACAGCACACTGGGTTTAAATTACGGAAGAAAACTTGACAACTGAAATGACAAAGACTATGCAAGAGAGACACAACAATATGCTGAAAACTGTCCAGGAAAATTGCAGTGAAACCCTCGAGGTGTTAGTGTAAGGTTAAGTGTTTCAGTTAAGTCTTGAATATGGTTTAGTAGACTGTTTGTACTGTATATTTCGAGCAGGAAATGTAATCTTTTAGTCTTACATGGGAATATAACTTCTCTTTTTTTCTGTGTATCAATTATTTAACTAGTAATAATTGGTCTTAAATGGATCTCTAGAGAATGTGACCTTAAATGAGCTGTTGACGCTCTATTCATTTTTGCAATTTGTATTCCCTCAAAAACAAAATGATTTTCTTTCAAGGATAATCTTTATTCAGACTTTAATATATAATCATGAACCCAGTGCTTAGAAGAATAAGTTGCTACATCTCTAGGTTGAGATACTACAAAACAAAGAATGCAATAAAAAGAGAGAACACATAACAAAGGGCATTATGGTCAGCAGTAGCTGACTGCCATGTGCCAGAAAGAATTTCCAGTCTAGATATACACACAATCACCTGACCACTGAACACACCTTTCACTTGTGCCTGCAGCTCTGATAACTTATCAGAAGCTAACATCTGGGTATCCAGGCGTACGCTGCCTGTCTGAAGACACAGCGACAAGGTCAACAATACCTCTCCACTGTGAGTTTAAAGCAGGTCTGTAGTGATGTGAAGTGACAGACTCCACCATGAGTCCAAATCAAGACAAAGAAAGATAAGATGGAGAATGAGCGGCAAGGGAGCGTCTCACTCTCTGAATCCTCTTTCTGACAGCCCCTGCTGTCATTTGTCAAAGGCAATAAGTAGGAATTTGACATTTACAACTAAGACTGTAAAGCATATGTCCGACACTAGTAGCTGACCTCATGAAACTGTATGTGTTCTGTAACTGGAAAGTACATACTTATTTTATTTTTCCTAATATTGAAAAAATAAAACTGAATCCAACTTTTCTCACATCACTCTTTTTAGACATATCACTTTTTTATTAGGGAATAATACATGTGTCGCCAATACTTAATATCCAAAACTAGTGATGAATCTGGCCTCTTGTATATTCAAGATTTTGAACATAAACTGAACTTTATTTTCATTCAACTCTTGAATGCACACCTTCTGGTGAAACAGATGCTTTATGCACATACACACTTACCCTGCATTGTTGCTGACAGCAGTGAGACTCTTAACACCCGTCTTCAGTAAACTGTTGATAAGATTCTCCGGGATACCACATAATCCAAAGCCTGAGTTGGAACACAAAAAATAAAATGATGTATAATAAATCAAAAACATGGAAACAACCAAGGATAGTGTGTATATACCAACCAATACAAAATCACACAGGGAAACCCAAAAGTTCAGTAACATGGTAAGCCTTGGATCAAGCTCCAGGTAATTCCAGTCCAGTGTGCATAGCATGCTGGTAAATATTTCCTATACTACAATGAGTGAAGCTGATTTTTGCTGGTCTGTTTTTTCCCCATCAGACAGACATGTGACACAGTGGAAAAAATGTTGAACAATGTCACTCTGAACTTGACTATAAATAAGAGCTGTGGGATTTGTGTGTGCTCTGTGTGTGGACGGTAATCAACCAGCATGCTTGACAGAGTTTAAGCTCCATTTCCTATGAAGTGGTGCTGTGCTAATTTGCCAGCACTGTCACTGTGGTTATGTATGTCCTACAACTTTGAGTCTGTTTTTACATATATCTTACCTCCCACCAGAATGGTAGCTCCATTTGGGATATCTTTTACCGCCTCTGCAGGATCTGAGTAGAACTGTGAACTTCTCTGGCTAGAGGTGGACAAGTAACAGCCACAGATCTGTAGAAAGTAGAACAAGAGGTACAAATAAACTTTAGAAAATGTTTTAATTTATTCTTAAAAAGAGCTCAGTCAACAGCAGAAACCCACTGTAAGTGATTCTGGATAAAAGCATATCAGTCTAATGCTTAAAAGTTTTAAATGTAGCAGTTCAAAGACCAGATGCCTGAGGGCAGCTGATATGTACAGTTTAAATAGTTGATCTAGTTCATTCAGTTGAAGAAGGGAAAGATAAGCAGATCTGCAGAGCAAATCCTACAACAAAAGGAGTGGAGATTTAGGGGAGCCCACAGCCAAGAGTCCAAGCCCAACAGAGTTAGCTGACAACTCAAATTTAAAATCTTCTGTGTCAACAGAGATCAATGAAAATTCTACCTGTGGTGCTGGGACCATTTTTTTTAACTATTTTCCAAGACATTTAGTTGTGTTTTACCACTATTCATTTCCCAGACACTAGTACAGGGGACTGGAACCATGAGAGACTTCCTAATACCCATTATACAGACTCTTTAGTATTACAGTGCTGACTATGTGGACTGCAGTTGCATTATCTGTAATGCTGACATCTGATATTACATATTTGAGATTTCTGGATGCTTTTTAAATACTGAACTATTCAGAGCGCTGTTGGTCAGACAGTGGAGGAGGAGGAAACTGCACACTACTTGACAAAATGAAATAAGTGACTATCCATTTTAAAAGTTCTGTAGTTCTCTATGAACTACAAGGAGAAAGACATCAAGTCATGATCAGCTTATGTAAGGTCAGTTGTTACTGTTGCCCAGATAAAGGTTGACATTATTATACCAACTGCAGTAAAATCTTGAAGCCACCGAGGTCAATTTTGACAATACATGTTGTAGCCTATGATGTTAAATGGGAAGTTAATTTTGTTTGTTCATCCGTAACACACATTACAGACACTGTCTTGATCAGAATTTAACAACAAAAAATGACTAATGCATATCATTACTTTCTCCCATTCCTGTCAACATTACACTGCTGATTTGTTTGTCCTTTCATTGTACAGCATTCTGCATTTCAGAGACCAAAGGTAAGATTTTGAAACCCTTATGCATTTTGCATAAGCGCACATGTCCCCTATGCATAGGAAAAACTTCCATGCTCCTTTGAGAATTTCCTAAAATTGTTTCTTTACTTACGTATCACCTCAGATATCAATTTGATTACCACGTTTTACTAATACTGCAAAGCTATGCTGGTAGGGGTGGATTAAGCAAACATTTCAACAACACACACGCACACCTTGGCACTGAACGTTATCAGCTATGCTGCATTTCAGGCTGCTTGTTCGACTAATGTTCATCATGCTTTTGAAGTCACTGATACGCGCAATGACATATGACCTCAAATTATTTAATTCACATCATGCATTACTCTAAATTATCATCGGTTTGTAATATTACAGCGAAATGAGATTTCATACAAATGTTTTGAGGTTAAGTAACCGACAGCTTGAGGTCACTTCACGATATAAGTAAACTTAAGTTAAACAAAAAGAAAAAGATAGGTAAATTACCTGATTTAGTTCACTTTGCACTGAAATGTTGGACGACAAAGAAAATAAAAGCTTCATAATATTATGACTTTTTAATCTTTGCCCACTTATTTGCAATAATCTCAATTCAACCTTCTTATTTCTACAACTAATTAATGTTACCGTTTATATACCGACCTTGCTCAACTGGTGGTTAACGAGGTTTAATTTGGTTCTGTAGGGACCTGAGAGGTTTTTGAAGATTAAATTCTCCGCTCTGCACAAAGCTTTGAGGGCCGCCATGTTTTGAGGCTACACACGGGGGATGAGCCGGGGAGCAGAGTGAAAGCTCTAGCCGGTGGACGACAGATGATGCAGGCTGAACAGAGTTGCAAAATGTGGGTACTAGCGCTGCTAGCTCACGAACAGAAAAGTCAGCGCCACGATGACATTGGCTGGTGTGTCAATGGGCTGGACTTGCATAAAGGGGAAGGGGAAGACACAGCAAGCCGGCAAGCTAATTTAACTTTAACCCTTTCACCACCACTACGCCATTATAAAGTACTTGATGTGTACTTTAAAACGCGCTAACCTTAACGTTATTTAAAAAATTAAGGGTAAAATAAGTAATTCAATAAACATTACGGCAATAGCGATGATTAAACGGTATACTTCGAGTTTAAAGTTACTCTCGGCGCGCGCACACTCACAGAAACACTGATGCCTTGGAAACAGACATGACATCTACGAGCACGTGAATGATCCCTCGCTCACGTGACGAATAGTTTTAGTCATGGCCGACGACTACAGGCGACAAGGTTTCGAGTTGGAGAGAAGGATATTTGAGTTAGACATCAAGTGTTCTAGTCTCAGAGCTGAAAAGCAAGGTATCGATAAGACGTTGTTATTTTTTTTCTCTTGTGACCATTCTTGGCACCTCGTATGCGTGGCTAACATTCTTGTTCAGTTTATTAGCCAACTAGCAGGCTAGCTAACGTTATCTAACGTAGCTTGCAACCATAACAACAGCTGTTGTCTGATGAAATGTTGCATGTTGACAAATGATACTCACCCTAGCAGTTAACTAATGGGTGCTAAGCCGTTAACTCAGTAACTATATAACAACGTGTACTCACTGGCTGGTGATTATTTTTGAAAACATAGTGTTGCGAGTTAACGGCTAGCGTAAGTTCGCTAATGTTAGCTAAAATGCATGATTGTTGACAAACGTTTAGCTGACCCTGAAACATGATGCTGCGTAATGCTAAATCAGTGCTGAGAGTAAATTGTTCAAGTAACATTGCCATTTTTTTTAAATAATAATTTCTATCTTCACATTTTCACTACATGTCAACTTTATCATACGCTTGAAAATGTTAGTCCACAATTCTTGCCATGATTGTATACTGTTTTGTCGCATAGTCACACTGCCTTTCACTCCGTAACGGTAAACCGTCTTCTGCTTTTGCGTCTAACGAATTGTTTTGCAGAAACAATGCGTGTAAATATGAAACGCCAATAATCAACTACAGTAGCCCGAAATGTGTAACGTTGAAGATGACCTGTCTTGAGTATAGATATGAAATTGGTAATATGTTAACATATCGTTCTTCCATAGATGATGACTATTTACAGAATGCGTCTGCCATACTAGACAAGTTGAAAAGCTATTACAGACAAGGAGGGGAGAGTAGCAACCTTTCCAAGCTGCTTCAGGATTACACACAGGTACTTCATCCCATCAAACTTTATTAATTGTCTAGAGATGCTTCATGGATGATTAATATCTAATTCTTTTTTCTTTCAAATAACCATTTAGTTTACAAAATATCAGAAAGTTGTGAAATTTCCCAATTCACTCTTCCTGCAGTCAAGGTGATCTTGAAATGACACGCTGCTTCTGACTAAGAGTTGAAAATACAAAGGTATTCAGTTATGTATAAATATAACTCGGAGAAATATCCTCAAATTTCAGACAGTGAAGCCAGCAAATGCTTGGCAGCTTTGCTTAATTGATGACATAAGCAAACAATAAATTACCAAAATTGCTGTGGCTTATTTTTCCGTTTTACCCCTATATACGTCACACCTTTGGCCCTTCAGTGGCCCTTCAGTTTAGCATTTGGAGTGAATATGTATGCCCAAGCTGTTAAATAGTTACTTAACTGGGTACAAAGTCGAAAAGGTTGGGTAGATCAAGGAAAATCAAGGGTATGTTAGAGTCAGTGGTTAGTTACACACTATTAACTACTTTGGTTAAGGTGGTCTGTGAAGTGATCTAAACCTCTGACTGAAAAAAGCAAGGTTTGTAGAAGAGGCTACAGCTGTGGCTACCTCTTCCTGGCAGATATATTATTACAGTTTCATCCCTTATCAACCTTATTAATGAAGAACACAATTAAGTAATTTAATGAAAGGAGGGAGGTAACTATTTTTGACATCTTTAACAGATTATTGTAGTTTTGAAAATGTCATAGTTTTTTTCACATTGTATTCATTGTTAGGTGTGTTTATATATTTGTTTTCGTTTAGGTGATCCTCGACATCACATTTTATGAAGAGAATAAACTGGTGGACCAGGAGTTCCCTGAGGACTGTTCACCATTTAAAATCCAGCAGCTTCTGCAAGACTTGACCGAGCCAGAAGTTTTGGCAGGGAGGTTAGCACCAGCACAAGAGGTATGTATATATGTGTCTCAAAACGATCTTGTGTGGTGATGTTACTGTCTCATTCTACTCTATGTGATCAATAAAGTGTTTAGGATGAAATCAGGATGAGAGAGAACACCAATGTGCAATATATAGTTATATAGTATCTGAGGAAAAAGATGTGGAAGGCTATAAAAGACATGTAAACACAAATGGTCCTACCTACTGCTTGATTATCAGGTATTCCTAGTAAGATGTCTATTTCACTTTAATTTTCTCTTTGGTTTATGGTTTCATAAAACAGATTTGCATACATTTACTTCTAAGTCATCGTGTGACATCACTATTCATGTCTTTGCTCTATGATAGGTGCAGTCTGTGTTGGGGCTCGAGTTGTTAGAATGCCTCTATTGGAGACGTGGAGCTCTGCTGTACATGTACTGCCACACCCTTCATCAACGAAAACAGTGGATCAAGAAAAACAAGGATACATTCCTTAAGGTACCATACTGTGAAAAGATTTAAGTAGATTCAGTAAGTTGTATTTATAAACAAAGATGTGGGCTTGACTGATTCTGCCACACAAATTGACCTTTTTTTTTGGTGAAAACAATAGTGTACAAGGTTTTTTTTGTTGGTATGCTGATATTAGGCCTAATGCTCATCTGTCCCTGATATTTTTATCCAGTGTATTCAGGAAGGTGTGCGCTACCTGATGCGGATGCTGCAGGTGAGAAACTCTGTGAAGCTCAATGATGGGGTGGTGCTCCATGACACTGCTACAGCAGGCTTCCTGTCTGAAGGTAAATATGTCATCACTTATCTTTGAATAACAAAAACCTTTGCTCTGCATTTGATCATGCTCACTACCTGCGTATGTTCTGCCCAGGCATCTTCTCAGACACACACCTGTTGACGATGATGTACATTGGAGAAATGTGTTTCTGGGCAGTCAAGTATGAAGACTGCAGTGCTGACACAATGGATCGGAAAGAAGATCGGCTCCAGTTTCGGGACATTGGCACTCAGATCCTCAACAAATATGTGCTTGCCTGCGAGGGCCCTCTGCAGGGCCAGGGCTGGAACACGGAGAATGCCAAGGAAATCCTTAGTATTTTACAGTGAACCAAGATGCTCCTGTGTTGAAGTTGCCCTCAGGCACAGATCTAAGTTCAGTATTCAAATGTGTGTCAACCCCAAATAAAAATTGAACCCATCAGGTGGGATGTAATGTTGTGGAAGGTTAAGGGGAGGCACAAGGAGTATGTGAAGAAAGGAGTCTTTGGATCAGTGTCTACAGGCAACCTAATCCAATTCCAATCGGCTCCTGGCCGAAGCAGGTGAATGAGAGGTTAGAAAGTATAAGATTGGTGGTGTAAAACTGGCAGGGGCTGCAGGGGAGGCTGTTGAATAATTTTTTTTGCCCTGTCCTGCTGAAAAAGCAGTTATCATCCTGATTACAGACTGTTGACTGGGGCACTTGTTTTGCTCTAAGAATGTGTTATAATAACATTAATATTAATATAAAAAGGTTATTAATAAAATTGACCTTTTTTCCATTTTTTAAGATTGTTACAAGTTTAAAGATAATCCAGCTGGAAACGAGACATTGCACAGTAACATTTTATTTATTGTTTTGTTGCCATTTTTTGTTATGCTTTTAATATATTATAATTGCATATACATTAAATATGTATGTGTGTATAAACATATACACACAAGAGGCTAAGAAAGGTGTTGAAAAACAGTTTGACAATGATGTATTCATGATCATTTGAAGTATGTTCAGATTTGTTCATACCAGCTTTGTAATGCGCCACTTGTATTCCCATCTATTGCAAGTTCCATTTTTCTGCCACTTGAGTAACTTTGATAGTATAACTATTAGTAGAGAATCTGTGATGTTTGGACAAAAATCATTTTCTGTTTTTTATGTCCTCGTTGACAATAAACACGCGCGTTGTTTTAAGAAAAAAAACACATTTATTTTGCATTACACTTCAAACTTGCACTTTGCACATCAGCTGCAGATTATTGTAGAACTACATCACCCACAATGCCGCACTATCGCCAGCATTAAGGAAGTGTGACAGTGATAGGGAGACGTTCTGTTTGTTGACATCTCTCGAGTCCACTCGCTGCACCGTTTAACCAGTTGTTTGCACATTATTATCACACATCAGAAATCATGGCAGGAACGATCCAGCAGCTCAGCGAGTCTGTAGTGATCCGCAGTCTCAAACGCTTCAGAGACAGGTACTTCCCAAACAGTGGTAGAGGTGTCAAAGATGACATGAAGCCTGCTACAGACACGGAAGAAGAAGAGCCACAGCCGGGATTTTTGGACAGTTTACCGGTAGGACAAACACGACTCATAAGAGGGAATATTTTTCCTTTAGTCAACTAAACGACAATGGTTTGAGGTCAAATTTTTTAATGTCTGTGTTTAAACATCTCTTTTTTCGAGGTAGGGCGAAATTATACATTCTAACAAGTTCGACTCTTTATTTCTCCGTACTAATGGCAAAAATCAGAACAACAAAAAACTCACATTACTGTAAGTCAGACAAGCGGGGTCAGAGGTCAGTGTGGTGAAAAGAAACACATTTCTTCAAGCTTTCTGCCTCTACTCCACTGCTTTTTAAAGGGAAATATTGTACTTCCCCCATTACGTTTATCTGACGGCGTACCGCGGCGTACACGTGCAGATTTTTATCTGTGATCATACAAAACATATAATTATCTTATAACAGATCTGTTGATATTGATTGTCCTCTGTTTCCAGCTGTCTCCATGACACTGTTATGCTTTGTTGTCCATTAGCTTAACTGTGGAGATATTTCTGTTAATTGTTCAGATTACGTAATAAATTAGATCTTAAACTTCTCATGGGCACAGAATCAATTAAACACAGCATCCAGCTTGTCATGTGGGCACATACCAGAATATGGACTCACTTGTTAATGTGAGTCCATATAGTGAATATGGACTCACTTGTTAATGGCCTGTCCCCCAAAAGGTGGACCTACAGTTCCTGATTATGACCCTTCTGTCGCCTGCTGTTATCTGCCGCCTGGGAGCCACCAGTCGGTACTGGAGGGCCATGGTTAGAGATCCATTACTGTGGAGATATTTCCTGCTCAGGGACATGCCCTACTGGCCCTCCATTGATCACGTGACCATGCCCCAACTGGAGTTGTTGGATGTACCACTTGTCAATGAAGATGAGAACTTGGATGATAGAAAAGAAGGGGAGGACAAAGGGATGGAATCGAAATTTGACTACATGTCAGAGTGGGTATCTTTTTCTCTTTTCCTGTATCGGGATCAGTTGGTAACTGTTGGACAGAAAGGTTTTTTGACGACTTTTTTTGCCTCAACAGATACCTGAAAGGCTGTCCATCCTGCAGACAGCAGTGGCTCCCTTCACGACCAGCGTATGAGCTTGTGACTTCATTTCTTCAGTCTCTGGTGCCATCGTCTGAACCACGTTATGCCATGTTTGGCCCTGGCATGGAACACCTGGATGTCTCTTTGGTCACAAGGCTCATGTATGCCCCAGATGTGCTTCCTGTGTCTGGCACTCCACACAGACAGATAAATGGTGAGATAAATTTGATGTTGAGTGCTGGTAATGAAGGATAAACTTCTCCTGGTCCTTTTTAATCTTTAACATCCTAACTACCCTGAATCAAAAAATAAATAAATCCAGCTTCTTCTTAAAAAGAGGCTGTCACTGGAATCCAATTGTTGTATATCCAGACTATAAAGTGAGACAAATACTATATTAATGAATTTCACACATAGACTCAATCAGGTGACAAATTATTGTAAAACAAATAACTTTATCTTACTTGTTGTAGGTTTATTTACCTACCATTAGGTGGCAGTATTGGCCCATAATTATTATCTAACTTGTCACTATCAGTAAAGATACCCCAAGAATATAACTAAACTAGCCACTAATGAACCTTCTTTTATCCTAGGTGTCGGCTCAGGGATCAGTTACATGTTCAACAACCAACATAAATTTAATATCCTGACTCTGTACTCAACCAACAGGTAAACTCGTAGCATTTAAAGTTTTCATATTAGCTGCGTTTGTTTGTTATCTTTCTCTGCATGTTATTGTGGATGTTTCACAGTCATTAAACTTTGTCTGTCTGCAGGGCAGAGAGGGAAAGAGCCAGAGTGGAGCAGCAGAGCATCAGTAATAAACTTTTTACCTGTGAAGGAGCAGACGACTCAGGCTACCCAATCTACAGCCCCGCCCCTCAGGTCCAGCAGGTGTGCCAAGTGGTGGATGGTTTCATCTATGTAGCCAATGCAGAGCCAGGGAAAGGTGAGATAAAGCATTTAGATTTGTAGCTTCTGCTTCTACCACGTCACTTTGTGCCCTTTGGTTGTTGAATGACCAGCACAGCCCATTGGCATGAACGAGCGTGTCGTAAACAGGTGGAGGGATGTCCGAGGTGGCTCAGATCCGGGCTGTGCTGAGCTCTGCCGGGGGTTCCACATCCAGACCTCTGCTGGTGCTCTCCTGTGTCTCCAGAGAAGAACCAGAAGCAGTTATGACCACCAGCCAGCAAAATAGCCCATACAGAAACAGGGCCAGGTGTCGAACTCCCTGTGTTGACATGGCAAAGAGACTCGGCCTACCGCAACTGGCTAACCCCTGGATGGTAAGTGTTTGATATTTGGTTAACTGAAAGGCCTCTACTGTATTTATAACCACCCAGTGTCAATATGTGTCCCAGATTTTCAAGCTGTGTTTGTGTTTCTCTTTCTATAAACAGGTGCAGGATACGGTGGCAGAATCCCTGTCAGGTATTCTGGAGGGCATTTCCTGGTTGCTGAGATGTTCCGGAGTCAAACTCTAAGGTAGCTAGTTCCCTGACTCCTGCGGCTGCCAGACGAATTAAAACCACAGACCTCATTGCTGCGTCATCCCGACACCAAGACACACTACGGTATTTTTCTTGAGTAATGTGCACCACGTGTGCACTGAATGTCTGACTGGAGCACTGCCTGTGAAATTTAATGAATTGAATGAGCAGCAGAAGAGATGGTTTGCTGGCTATTGTTCATAAGGGAGACCTGACAGAGACCCTGATCGTATTTACAGAATGAGCCATATGAATATGAATTACAGCAGGATAGAAAGTTATACAAACATCTGGGAGGTTCACAGTAACCCCATGAGCTGGTTTTGCTGAACACTAAGTTCTATGGAGCAGCTATAAATATCCTGCTTGAAGTTACACTAACCAAAAACATTGCTGGTACCTTTACTTCTGACTTGAGTTGTTTATAGTCAGGAGTCTTTGCCAGCAACCTCCCTGCAAAAAGTCAGCTTATGTAACTTTCAGACAAAACCTGCAGCCGTCTGATCAATGATTTGCACTCTCATACTGCAAAGATGTGGCTTTTGGAGCTAAACTACGATACAAGCAATGGAATTGATTTACTTTGTTTTAAATACTTCATGTTTATGCAATTAAAAAATGTTGCGTTTTGATAAATGGTAAATGCTTTTGTGATTTTAAATGTTGACTTTATTTGTTGCACAATTAGTTTGTTCTACAAAATTTTCTGGTGGCTCACTCTTTTATTCTCAAAGCGCGCTTATAACTCACTGTTAAACGTCTGTTAAATGACCAGTACATCACTGCTAAATAATTACAATGACAAAATTATTCTATGTATGAGTCACTTCTTTCTTTTTTTCCTTCATTCTTCTTTCTATCTCATGCACATATTCAAACGTTAAAAACCTGTGCGCAATGGAAGCTATTTACTTTCTACTCACTTAACTAATGCGCCACTCTCTTGCCCTGTCGTTCCTTCCTTCTGAGCTCAGCACTGGCATGTAAAGTTGAATTCACATCTGTATGTCAGCAAGTAACCGTTGGGTTGCTGGGTTACCGAAAATTCTGCCTTTCTAACTGCCTTTGAGTTTTATTTTTTCATTTCAACATTTTAAGGATGTTACTAACCTATTTGCCAAATAGGAAAATCCTGGCAAACTAAGACTTTATTAAAGTATATTAAAAGACAAAATACAACCAAAGCCAAATCATAAAATGTAACACTATAAAGAGAGACAACTTGCGTCTCCAAAGAGCCAGGTATTAAATGACTTCTTGACTAGCAAGTGAAAGGATTCCATGACCACGGAGATAGAAAATGTTGGAAATCAGGAGTTCAGATTTCTAAAGTATAAAGGCTTTTTTTTTCAAAGCTTTCTTCTGTAGATAATTCATATGCACAATTTTTAAAGGACTTGAAAATCTGCCTCTTAATAACATCAGCACATGTGGCTTTTTATGTTATCTGGCAACAGATTCTGCAATATCAAAATGGAGGTACAAGCCCACATTTAGACACTCGGCTAGTCATTTTAGATCCGCATTGATTGAAAATAATTCAGTAACGCACTCCATGTCTACTTTTGTTTAAAACTAAATGGCAGCGCAATTGCAACACTTAAATCATCACTCCCTTAATGTCTTAATGTTGTGTTTTTCCACTGAAAACTACCAACTGTTTCATAGTTAGTGTCCCTGGTGGCAATGTTCACATGCCCTAATGGCATGTGAACACCGCATGCATGACAAGATAATGTGCTTCACTGATGCTCTTTTGTTCTAGTCCCCTAGGTAACCACAAATCATTGGCAAAAGTATGTTCCCCCCACAGCCCTTCCATCAGAAGGTTCCTTAGCCTCAACAATCATTTTCATAGACACAGATTTAGAATAGGAGCATGATTGGTGCAATTTAGGTGCATTAAGCTGAGCTGAATACTGGTGAAGCGGAGATTGATAATTTTTTTTTTTTCCTTTTTTTTTTTCATCCCCGGTGAAATTGAAAGGGAAATGATGGAGGGGCTGCTGTGTGCGTTCATCTGTGTGTAGTTTGTGTGTGTTTGTGTAAGAGAGAGACAGACAGAAACTGACTTTTCATCTCACCATATACCTCTGTTCACTGTAAACAGGATGTCTATCTCTTTAGTCCTCACTCTATTACCTATTGTGTGTTTGTGTGTCAGTGCATGTGTGTATGTGCATGCATGCTCATGCTTACACAAACTGTCAAACAATGAAGGTAGACCACAAAAAAAAAAAAAAAAGTATATAAGCCATGGGAACCTGTTTTTAGGGCAGGTATGCAGGGAATAACTTTGTCTAATCCTACGTTATTACTCTGTGATCCTGATTGAGCCAATGAAGGTAGGGTGACCTACCACTGAGCAAGGACTGGCCACTGGCAAAGTGGAAAGATAGTAAAAAGTGGTTACAGTCTCAATGAATGAAGACGTGAGTGAGTTGCAGTCTACAGATGAACTACTTTAATGTGAATTTAGACTAAAGGAAATAAACTGCACCAGAATTAATGAAGTTACTGTGTGGGTTTGCAGCCAGGATGTGTTGGATCCACTGCTGGAACTTGCTGGGGTAGGATATTTTCAAGGTCTGTTTATTTAGACAGCAGACTGTGGACCATTAGCACACGTCTCTATATAATGGTGCACGGCTGGGGTTTGGTGGGGGAGGCTCCCGGGCCATGTTTTGGAAGGGCGAATGAGTACCAGACCTCCAGCTGCTTCTTGTCCTCCACAACCAAAAGGGGCCTCTGGGATATGATGTCACAAGGAGGAAACCCCTATTTACTGACCCGAGACATCTGCAACGTTATGAGGACAGTTAGCATACCATGCATGTATGATGTCTATTGAGACCACCAAGAATGCTGTGTTTTGAAATGGCTCCTAACTCTGCAACGTAAAGCCTTCTCCTTTGTGCTCAGCAGACAATGGAATGGCAAACCAAATTCCCTTATGAAACTTATTAATGTAGCATTTAAGATATCAGAATAGTTCTCTTGTCTGTGATCTAGGTTTTGCTGTAATGCCATGGGATAGAGAAATGTGCCTGTGTGTGCAAACAGACTTTTAATAAACTTCTTTATACAGCCTGAGGCAATAAGCAAAAAAATAACCAGCAGTATTGCATAGACAGTCTGTTTACTTATGTAACATGACGAATGTTTTGACAGAGGTATTTCCTATATATTCCCAGAGGTCTTCCCTGCTAAATGAAACTTAAGTTTTCTTGCTGTTGGACATGTATAATGTCTCATTTTATGGCCATGTTTAAGTTGGTTTACGCACAACTATTCATTCAGTATTGGTAAGATATAGTTAAATATTGAATCTGGAGACCCATATGTAGCAGGTAGTATAATTGCAAAAGAAGCAGGGCTTTTTTACGAACATTTACACAGAAATTAAATCAAAAGATGCTTTCTGTTGAGTACATATTATTGAAAGCATTGTTTATGTGCACCCACATAAAAAGTAGATGGGGTGGACACACTATAAGCAACAATTGCACAATATAAATCTAGAATTATGCAGTGACTACTCCTGTTGCCTTGCTTATATTAAGCCTTTGTTGAAAATGTATCCGTGCTTTCCTAGGCTGTAGGTTGTGGTGGTGCATAATGTGCACTGAATGCATACATGCCAGCTTATTTATTAAAATCAGGCTGTTTTAATTGAGTGCCATTAATGCAACGTTAGTGCAAAGATATTGCACATGTAGAATAGACACGAAAACATGAGCAACATATAGATGCAAAGTGAAGTAACTACTATTGATCTAATGAAGATTTGTTGCTGTGTCAATAAATGTTTGACTTGAAAGAATGAACTTGGCTCTAAGCACTGTTCAGAAGGGTAAATACAGTAATCACAGCAACCAACTCTGTCTCACTGCCTTTTCGGACTTCCTCTTTTTACATCACCCTCTCCATCTCCTACCGTTCCTCTTTATCACCTTTGTCCCATCCCACCCTTTTCACTCTCTCCTCCTTTCATTAGAGTTAAGTCCCTGATTTGTATTCCACGATAACAGCAGAGATTAAAGTAGGCATTGAAAAAAAAAACATCATTTGCATGATGCATTCACTGATTAGGCTAAGCGTCCCTCTTAATTGGGTTGTTTTGCACATGGTGGGGCTCTCATGCTGATACTCTGTGGATCTTGCTCATCCCATGCAATCTCACCAGTTCACTTCAATTTCCTCCCTACTTCACTGCATCCATTGCCACCTACCTCCTGCTGTCATATATATAGCAGGTTAGGGACTCGTGATACTGGATTAGGGTTCAGAACTGTTAGTGGTGAATTATTTGTGGATCACTCTGATCCTATCAACAGCTCCGTAATAAAGAAGATATGGAACCAGGAGCACCGTGATGTGTCCTTAAATTAGCTGCTGCTGCTGTTGTTGTCATTTCTATGTGTGTGTGTATGTGTGTGTGTGTGTGTGTGTGTGTGTGTGTACGTGTGTGTACGTGTGTGTGTACGTGTGTGTGTGCGCCCTGTAGCCATCTCCTCTCTTTTATCCTAATCCAATAGGCAGCAGGGTGCTGACACAGTTGTGAATGGTCACACTTGCAATGTGAGCCAGTACTAAATGCATTACAGGTGACTTGAAGGGGATGACACAAAGGGCACTCTTTCATTATGTGGAAAATAAAAATAGACTGCCAAACATGAAAGACATGGTATTGCAGGAAACAACTTATGGCTGTGACATACTATATGTTACCTGAGGTAACTATGAGCAGTTAGGTGGCTCAGAAACTGAAAACTAAACAATCTTGTAAAACAACCATTTATTTAATGCCTTAATTCTGATGAGAATTTAAAAAAAAATCTCTGGAAAAGTGATTTTTTTATGTTTTTATTTTCATTTTGTCAACAAATTCCATGACAAAACAAACTAACAACATGTGTAACAAGGCAAACCTCCATTGCTGCCAAAAACCTAAATAGATGAGACACATTATTATATTGGGTGACATGTTCCTTGATTACATCGAACTTGATCACTGTAGACTGTATTTTTTCAACTGACCCTGCATACATCATCCCCCTGCTCTAAATACTCAGTCACACCAAATCCACCGCCGAAAATAGTCCCCAACAGAAGCACCTTTTTTTTCAGTTTACTTCAGTTTGACTAATGTTTTCTAAAAACTGTAGTGCTCAGCTGTTTTAGAAACTGATTTAGCCCTTACAAAAAATGAAACTACATATGACCCATTTTAAAGATTCACATTTTCAGTCCGGCTGGAGAAGTTAGAAAGAAATGAGAGAGTATTGCTCTTTACTCTTCTTTGCGCTTCATCTAATCCAAAGTGTCATTAAACCCATGCATGTGGTGAACAAAATTAACTCAAAACATTATCACTTAATATGATTCTTTTAATAATCAATCATCTCAAGCTGGGAAAACACCTGCTGTAATGGGTGATTAAAAAAAAAAAATAAATAGTTTTGATGATTACTGTAACTACCATTACCAGAACTCACAAAACATCCCACTGAGGGTGTAGCTGTAGGGCTTAGCTTGGAGGCAACCCAGTTCAAGCCCTCACAGTGGCATCAGTCTGTTGGCCAGATGTATTGTTCTGTTGTCACATTCAATACAGCATAAGTCCACATGATCACTCAAGAGCAGACAAACATGAGTATTCTATAACAAAGGAACTAATTCAATGGACGCCCCCACTCTCCTCCAATCAGAGCTCTCATGCCCCATAACTGACCAATAAATGGACATTTTCAAGGGTCATTTAATACATCCTAATTGTTTGCCCATATTTGTTCCTCTTTGGTAATTAATGTACAAAGTGCCTCAAGTTCAGTGAAAGGTAAGCCAATGAGAGTAACTATTATTACCTGAATTTTCCTTTGGTTTAAACATGGAATAATGTCAAGAAAGTTGTTGTGCGTGTTGAAAGATGTAAACACTTGTAAACCCCATTAGATATATTTCAATATTTCAGTGTGCTATAGTTAGTTATAGATGACAGTATTCGTACATGAGAGCAGCCTTCGTGTCTCATCCAGTGTTTTTATGTGCACTGCAAGCTGGAGGATTTGGAAAAGCCAGGTCATAACTCGTAGACCTTGTAAACGAAAAAGGGACAGGGATATAAAAATACAAGGACGGCTCTGCTCAGTGCAGACAGGCCAATTCCATTTCTTCTCCCTCATGTCACAAATTATGTCAACAAAGAATCAGTGCATTGGCAGGAAGAAAAAAGGCAGAAAATACAGACCCCCAGCCCACCTCTGTGTCTCTGACGTCTGTGACGTTTGTCTCTGCCTGTTTGTCTCTCTGTCTTTGTCTAACCTGTTCCAGTTCACTCTGATTTCTTAGTACTAAGATATCCACTTACACCATTAACTGGGATGTATTGGAAGCTTGAATTAGCCATTAAACTTGTTTGTTTATCTTATCATAGGCTGACATGAACTTCATAAGTGTGCGTGTTCACATAGTGTTCAATGTAAAGTGTGGTGAGGTAGAGCCGCCCTGCAGATTTATACTTGTGTTGCTTTAGCTTTTAATACTGCAATTGGTTTTGTTTACACTGATGGATGTTTGCCTTGGGATGATCATCGATTGAAGGTTAAATCCTGAAAAGAAAAAAAAAACCTACCACAAGGTCCACGCAGGCAAATGGACTACATACATGCGCAGAAAAACCTGCAAGCCAGGAGCAACAGCTGGGTGCATGGGTGTGTTTTTCTCTCACGTGTCGGGGCGGGCCGTCCATACCATTGATGGCTCTTGAGTTGGAAGGGGGGTGGGGGGTGTATGTCCACTGACAGCTGAAATTGTGGGCGAGCCTCTCATGGCGTCACTTCTCCAGTGGACCCTCCACGTGAGTCCCACACAGAGGAAGGCTATGGGTTTTAGGTACAGGCGCAGCCATTCACAACATGCGGTTTGTGATTCTCAATTAATGTCATTTGCATATAGAAGCAGGCTATACGTGCAGTGGTGGGCCGTTACCTGTTACTTGTTTTGAAACATACTTAGCACATACTCAAGTAAGTTAACAGAGTATGTCTACTTGTTAGGGAACTAGTTTGCTGTAGACTGACGTAACAAAGCTGCCCCCTAACTGAAATACTACTAATGATGATGATGATAATAATAATAATAATAATAATAACAATAATTGGTATTATTATTATAAGTAGACGAAACAATTGAATCTGTAAAATGTGTGACAAAAATTACTCGAAAGTACTATTTTCTAATATCTAACAACCCTCCCAAGCAAACAGCTTAAGGGCCAGTTACAAGGATACAGTCCTGAAAGTGTCTATTCAAATTCAATACTTTTTCTATGTTTCTGTCACTGCGTGTGCCTACGTGGCCAGAACATTAAAAATTTCAGTATGCAAAAAGCGACATTGGTTTAAAATTCAAAGTATAGTCAAGATTTTTAACCCACATTTTAAGGCTCTAATATGATGCCATGCAATAGCTATTTAAAAATGTTTATTTGCCACTTAATCTAAGTGGCACACTAAACAGTAAGCGTGGCAGCAGTGGGTTTTATTTTGGATGTTTGGCCCGGCAGGCTCTCTCTCTCCCTGGCTGTCCCCTCTGAGCTCATCATGGAGTGGAGTGGATTGCTGGCGGATGAGGGCGCTTCACCGCCATGTGAAACACACACTCGCTGTGTCTCAGCGTCGCGGTGTGTGCAGCCAGCCCTGAAAGTAGGCTAGATGATGAACTGAGCAGCGGACAGGCCCTAATACACAAATCGGCAATAGGGAAACCGGCACCAACCCGATCCAATGTTTTGGGTGATGTGAAAATCCTGATCGGAGAGATCTTTATTCGGGCCGAGCGAGGCTGAGGTGAAGAAGCAGCAGGACTTTTCGTGCCTGTTGGTGCTCACGCTGGCCATCAGATGACCAAGTTCTGAAAAGTCGATCTACGCTGTCCTTGCAGTTTTTCAGCTCGAGACTTCGTAATATAAGTAAGTGCGTTTGTGTTTGTTTGTTTTTTTAAAGCGTTCAATGCATCTTTTTGTGCTCATGTCTGAAAAACTCAGTTTCTCGCAGCTTACGCACGACCCGTGAAACTTTTGCTTAAATTTCTTTACATTTTTCACGCACCAGCCTACTCATTGTAATTTTTTTCACCAGTCATAAACTTTAGCACGCGTAGCTCACTGCTTGACACTTAACAAAAGCCCACATCAAAATCACAGAAACTTGAGGTTGTCTAAGATTCCGCTGCTATTTGGTGTTGCGAGAGCAGTTGGACAGTCTGGGGATGGGATGAAGTGACAGCCATGGTTGGTTTTGGCGGATGTAGCCTCTCTCTATTTACCTGGTAAGTTATTCCTCCCCTTAATGACAGCACCTGATGAGTTTTATTTAGTCTGTTTTAAACAACATAGAGATAAATATCAAATCGGAGGGAGAAAGGGAAACGTGACTGAAATGAGAAAGAAATGCTGGGGGTCTGTTTAAAGAGCATCTCAAAGCACCCAGCTGAACCCAGAATATTAAGAAACATTCTGTAGTGTTGCTTAATAGTTGAAACAGTCTGGTGTGGATGCAGAGGGAGTGCATTAAGATGATTTTCTTTCAAGATTCTCTCTTCAAATATTTGTGATCTATTAAATCACAATACAATAATGAAAAGTGTCGGTTAGAAGTTGCCATGACGAGATCACGATGATGCCTTTTAAAATGATCATCAACAGTCCCAAGGGAATTCAGTTTGAAGTGATGTGAAACAGGGAAAATCAGCAGTTTTAGGAGGAGCTGGAGCCAACTAATAAGTATAAGAAAATACAAAGAAACTAAGAAAAGATATTTAACAGTGTTAAATAATTAAATAGTTTCCACACTACATAACTAAATTCATAACACTCGTTTAGTGCAGATGATTACTATCCAGTATTGGCTGTAAGAGAAGTTTGCATGTTTTTCCCCCTTTGCCTCTGTTGCATTTCTACTACCTGCTTCAGCTTTTAGCAGTTTTCAGAGCTTTTTCATTTCAGTTTCCCTTCTCAGTTTGTTTGCTCTTCATCAGTGACTGGCTGACTGTTGTACTGACCGCAGGAGAACACCTTTCCTGTTCTGCTGTTTTAATTAGGAAGCACACCACACTGTGATTAGATACAATGTGCAGACTTAGCCACTATAGAAGGCACTGTACAACGCTGCCTCTCAAAGAATTCTTTTTTCTTTGTTGTTCTTTTTTTGGAAAAAAGTTTTTTTTTGCAGTTTGACCTGTTCAGGTTTCAGGTCAAATTTCTTTTTACTTAAAGGGTTTGTTTTGCCCTGTAGCAGGATAATTCATTTCTTTAGAGGTGCTTTTATTGCTCCGTTGAGTCTCATATATTTAGTTGTGATTTGTTTATTAACTTAACAACAATGCTTTCCTCGCAGTCTTCCTCTGTAATGGCTCCAGGTCATTACCACACAGCTGTTTAAAATACTGCCTGTTTATTATGTCCAACTTGATAGCGTTAGTTTGGAGGCCAAGTCCTTTTAAAAACAAAAATCATCAGCAATCTCCCACACTGTTTGACAGGTGTGATCTTGTGCATTTCACCAGCACATTTTTCCTTTAAGACAACATCTTCTGATAATATTCACCTGGATATAGCTGAAACATGTTTAATGGGATTTATTGTTGGAATGCTGGCTCAGTGAGTACTAATACGCAGAGAAAGCACGATGAGGCAGCCATTATAGCATCCACTAGGTAACAGAAGTACGAGATGTTTTAATAGATGAGACGAGGAGACGTCTGTTCCATCAGTTTCTGTCTCAGTGTTTGCCACACACCCACATGCAACATTAATTACAGCTGTTATGTTCTATACCCTTTGACAGCAGTGCATCACTCGAGAAAGCATTAGATTTCTACACACATCCATGTGCACTTGGACTTCAGTGATGTGCACGGTTGTCAGGATATGCTTGTGCGTCTGATAGTAAGGGAAAATTGCAGGATTTAGAGCAAATTAGAGCGTGCACATCTATACTTAGTCCTCCAACACAACAGTGGGTTGATAGAGACTTTTATGTGTTCTTTTAGATAGGATTGAACTCTGCAGCTGAACGCGTATCATTCAAAAGACAGTAAATCATTAAAACATACCACATACAGGTAAGTCAACTTGTGACTTTCAGTTCTGAATAGTTTGAAGTAATTGTCTCTGAAATGACCAAACCATGGTAACCAATTATTTTAATGATGCCAAGCAGCTGTAACAGATGAAGAAGTTTGATTTTTTTGTAAAATTTTACTTCACAGCTATTAGTTTCAATAACTTAGACAAATTGTTGCATGTCTTACACACACACACACACACACACACACACACACACACACGCACGCACAGAGAGAGAGAGAGTGGAATGCTGCAAAGCAGACATTTTCCACAAAGATCAATTTTCAGATGTGTACAAGCGCACACTTTCTCTGTCTCTTCTGCATTCAGTCTCTCGCGTTTACTTTTCATCTGTCTTATTCTCACTCCAATACGCACACTTGATTTTATACATACACACATGCACGGGCGTACATACAAACACCCACTCTCTCTCCCTGTCCTGCCTCCACACGCACAAACTGTAGCAGGGTTTGCAGATGTGTGTCCTGATCTGCTTCCAGCAGAGGCTCTTCTCATGCCAGTGTGCTGACTCTGAGTTTTCCACTCCCTCTTATGAAATAAGAGTAGGAGACATTAGAGCCATCCAGTAGCCAGATCTGAATGCCTGAAAGCACACACAGATGCACATACACACAGGTTAAAAATGCACACACATACACACACACACACACACACACACACACACACACACACACACACACACACACACATACACACAGGTTAAAATGGATACACATACATACACATACACACACATACACACACATACAGTTCATATTCACACACACACACACACACACACACACACACACACACACACACACACACACACACACACACACACACACACACTTTGAACACAGGTTAATTAATGTATATAAATACTGTACATCCAACAGTCCAAGGCTATCAGCAGCAGCTGGTTGCTGTAGTTTTTGGGCCCCAACTCTTGTCTGAGCGTCTCTGCCAATGTGGACTCTTCTTCACCACTGTCTGGCTCAACATGCAGACTCATGTTGAAACCTGTGGTGTGTTTACTCAAATTTTGTTTATTTTAAAGAAAGAGGTCAGCAGTGAAAAGAAGGGTCGAGGGCAGAAAATCTGTTTGCATGATTCTTGTGTAACTTTGAGAGACTCATCAGTGGACCTTGGACCACTTTGTGTATGTGTACTCACAAACATGATTAGTTTGAAATGACAATGTTACACTCCACAATATTTGTGAAATAATATCTAATGTCTGTCTTACAGGCATAAAGTAGAGCCTCACCTTGCTGAGGCAGAGTGATTAAAGATGCTCCATGACATTAATGTACTGGGTGCCAGGTGCTTGAGAGTGTATGGATATACAGTGAAAGGCATGCTGGGTTGCATGTGGTGCATATCATCAAGTTAAATAACACATATTCTGAAGTTTTTGTTTACATTTGTCTCATTTTGCTGAAGTTGTAGTTATTTTTTGGTTGTGTCAAACTCTAAAAACAATCAGGAAAATCATCCAAATTTTCAGCCCACCAGGCATCTTTTGTTTTTCTTCAGAGCACCTGCATCTTTTCTCTAAAATTCTAATTGGTGACTCAGACCTTAAATGACTCAGACCTTACTTTTTCTTTGCTCTCAGCCTGTCTCGTGTGGCCATTTTGTGAGTGCGTTGGCTTAAAATTTCACAGTTGACAAGTCACATTGGGGGAGTTCGCACTTTAACGTCGGGTGATCTAAGAAAGCACAATGGTCCTCTTTTATGGGTATACATTTTCTACTTGTGTGTTTTTTGTTGGAGCTTAATGCTGGCTACACCACTGGCTAACTAACATTAGCATATTTTACTCAAAGCGCTTGTTCTTAGACCCTCTCTGTGGTTTTCCACCCATTAAAGATGCCTTGTGGCATCACCAATTCATTCTTTTTTCATATGGACTTTATCCCATGATTATAGTTGATTGCCTCTGGACAGGCCATGAATAGCTTGGGATTTTGTTATGTAGGTTTGGCTTGTAATTCAATGACTAGTTCCAAAGTAATTAACAAGGTCATACTAAATTGATTCATATCTTCCTTCAATTCCTTCCTCTTTAGCCCTCAATAAACCCAGTGAAATAAGCACTTTGAGCTTGGAGCACCAGGGTATTTGTCGCAGTAGATGGACTGCAATGAATGAAAGACAGGGGCTAAAGAAAGGATGAAAAGTAGTTGACAGTTGGTGAGAGAAAGATCAGCAGTGCACTAAAGGGGTGTATTAAATTCATGTTCAAAGACATGAGGTGTGCCTACAACCCCCCGAAAGTCACTGAAAGGCTAATGTAGTCTTGCATGTCTTTATAATGTATGATATTTCTGAAAGCCTGTGAGACCAAAGGCATGGATCAAGTGCTGCTTTTATAGCCCCTCGAAAAACTATTTGACAAAAGGTGGAGCAAAGGTGAATAAAATGAATATTTCAGTAAAAAGCAGTATTGGGTACAAAACCTTGTACTAAAGCTTTGTGTAAGTGCAGACCATATTAGGTTTTTCCTACACACCTGCCACCAAAACCACGATAGCTTCACCAAAAATTCCTTTTTTTTTTTTGATTGAACTCATAGATTCATTACATGGAGTTACTTATGAGTGAGCATGTTGGGGTTCTGTGTTTTAAGGCTGTTTAAGTGTATGGTAAAATCTTGGTCTTGAGTGAGGTGGAGTGACATCGATTTTGAGGCGCGTCAGATCGTCTGATGAATCCTAATGCTATGATGCAAATAAAGATACATATCTTCTCTCAATGCATCGTAGGACTGTTGTGTTGAATTGATGACTTTCAGAGAGATTTTCACAGGTGTGTACTTTGATCTTAGACATCC